GCTCCAGGCTCGTGTTGTGTTTGTCATGTGGCTAAATAACCTACGTACGAACTCAGAGTGTGCTGTCCTATGACAATGGCAGCTCTGCTAGTTGTTGTGTTTACATCCCCCCTCCCTCCTCTCGTTGAATCATCGTATTGTAGATGAGATGTTGAGACGTGAAGCGACGTGTGTGGCAGGGTTCTGGTCGGTCAGCTGGTGCTCCTCACCTCATGGCGGAGAACCGCAGCTGTAATTTCAGGTTCCACTTTGAAAACAACCCGCTGCTCGTTGCTTCACAGCTTCCCGCAAAATGTTTCGAGTTCCTGGACTGTACCACTTCACACAGGGCCGGGGGGAGGTGGAGCCATTATATCAAGCAAACAACAAATAAACTGGTAAAAATGGCTGATACAAAAAATAAATATCAATTTGATTGTCGAATACTGTTGTACAGGCACTACTTGTTTTATATTAATACAATCGAAACCTATTGTGAGCGGGTTATCTGACACATTGGCCCCTACGGAGAGAGTTGTAGTTTGTAAACCCCAGTCATCTTCTTCTCTTCTGTTTTATGGCCGAACAACGGGATGACGCATTACCGCCACCACCTGGCAAGTAATGTGTAGTGACAATATTCAAAATGTTATAAATCAGTAGTATAGATGACAAGATTGAATTAAACTGAGTTACTTACATAAATATTTCACAAAGCCACAAACAGGTAATTAGATCATGCATGTTTTTATTATTTGTATTCAAGTTTAGCCAAACAAATCTGAGATGATTATAAAAACAGTTAATGAAACACTGTTAAAAGCACTTCCATGAAATGAATCATAAACATTCAAGATCATATCACTGAGATTGCAAGAAAATTTAGACATGTGCCTTTAAACGTAACATAAGATACATGTAACAACTCCTTCAACAAATCCCTGGAGTCAGTGCCATGAAAAAAAGAATCTGTGAAATAAGAAGTTTAATGGGAAAATATACAGAGGAAAATATAAAATAATAAATAAATGCAGAATGTGAATTACAACTTAATATTTAAAAAAATTACTTTTTACTTCTAAAAATGTACTTATTGATTAGTTTTGCATATAAATTGCTCTATTTATTTAACCAACTTTATATAATTTCATTTTATCCCTTTACTTTCCTTGCTGTAGTCCCCATTGTTTTTGCATTAAGGAAAAAAGGGATGCAAATAAATAAAACCTTAAAATATATACAGAAAGTGTAATTTATATGCAAAAATAAATCTGTTTTTAAAAACATAATATATACTGAAGTATGAATGTGAAAATGCTTATAACCATTTACCTATTTCATTACTAATTCTTGTATAATTTCTCTTAATGTTTTTACCATTTTAATTACTTATTCTTTTAATTATTCTTAATATTTCTACATTTATTTCCCTTTTCTCTTTCAGATCGATTTTATGGCATGCTTGACTCCACACATCTCCTCTGTTCCTGTTGTAACATAAATAAAGTACAAAAATCTCCCTGAGTGTTTCTTTCTGAGAGTCTGAATTCCCTGTGAACAGCTGTGTTTGTTTGTGCAGTTTCAATATGGCTTAAGAACACGACAGAAACAATCCAAGAACCCTTTGTGGATTTCAACTCCAACTGAACAAACTTAAATAGTGAAATACAATCTGACAACTGTCAAAAATACTGAAATGTTCATGTTGTGATGTGTCAGGGTGTTTGTGTGACGCAAGTCATCGCTCTGTACCTCAGTGAACCAATGAAAGTAAAAGTGTTCCCTCTTCATCCTTTAAGTTAGAAAGTGTGTGAATACATGCGCGTGTGTGCGCGTGTGTGTGTGTGTGTGTGAGGTGCTATGTGTGGTTCATGCCACAGCATTCCTGAGATATCTGGTGCCACAGTGAACAACTGTTTCCCTTTAAAACTTTATTTTAAAGATAAAATCTACTCTGTTCCTCAAAGGTTTTGTTCAGAATGCTCTGAATCATTCCATTAAAAGCTACATGACATCCTCCTCTTGTTGTTCCTCTTGTTACTGAGGACTGAGCAGGTGGATGATTCTCTTTCTTAACTTCCTTGTGTGCTTCAGCTCGTCCTCCCCCTCATCCTCCTCCCTTCTTTCTTTGCTCTCCATCTAAAAACATGTTTGGTGGAGCTCTTGTGTCACTTGTCTCCCCCTCTCCTACTACATTGTGATCCCAGCGTACAGCTCTTCTATATGGGGTCTGAAGTGTTGCCGCAGTTCGTTCCTCTTGGCCTTCATCGTAGGAGTGAGAAGGCCGTTCTCGATTGAGAACAGCTCGGTGTGGATATAAATGGCCCTCACCTGAGGGACACAAACACAAGTTGTCAGGTTGTGTTGTAGAGAAGAATAATGTTTCACTTCCAGAAAAGTATTTTACAAGAATGCTACAAAGACAGACACAGATATTTCAACTGTGAGCTGAGTTATGAGCCGTTGTTTTACCTGCTCAAAAGACTTGAGGCCTCCTTCTTTTCCCAGTCGCACCATGTCCTCCAAGATGGCTGCTTTCACATCCTGTGCAGATGGAAAAAGAAAGGAAGTACTCATAATGATGATATCACAAGTTCTTTCAATGGACAAGCAGTGCATGGGCTATGGTACAGGACAATCTGGCCCAAATCACAACAGAAATTCACTTCTAAGCTCTTTTTCGTTCTCTAGGCAGCTCACAATTGGATTCTGATTCAGAGGACTACGATTCCATCATAAAACCATTGAACCAGGTTCAACTTTTTTGCAACAAGAGGCGTCATTTAGCCTTGTAGACCCTTGTTGGGAATAATTGTTGTTTGTGAGGAGAGAGAAATGGATTCACAATGTGGATACAGGAAAATATGTCCACTGCCTGATTTCACTGTATACTGGAATTAAACTCAGACTTACCGCTCTGCCACATAGATCCTGGTAGTTGCCCTCCAGGCCCAGTGTCTTCTTGGTCCAGCCAGATAGGAAGTCAGGGTCAGGGACCACCACTGCTACCAGACATGCCTGAAGGTAAACAATATACGCAAGTCAAAGTGTGGGTTAGTCTGAGCTCTGTAAGACTGGTTGTTGTAATGAATATAATATCTTCAATGGTGTCATCAAGTGTTTCAGCCTAATAATCCCAATAACATTGAGAGAGGCTAAAGGTAAATCTGACTACTGGCTTGTATGGCAGTGCTTTGAAAGCTATGTGGCCCGCTCAGTAGATCAGACGTCATTACCTCTGTGCCGTTTTTATTCTATTTATTTATTTATTACATAGTTCCACAAAGCTTTGACACACACACACACACGTGAACAGAACACGTCCTCCACCCACCTGCAGGCTGTCTCCATGTACAAAGACATGTGCCACTGCATCACTCCTCAGGTAGATAGTCTCTATCTTTTCAGGAGCAATGTACTCCCCCTGTGCCAGCTTAAAGATGTGCTTCTTCCTGTCCACGATCTTCAGTGTTCCATTCTGGGAAGATACAATTCCCAAAGCATTCATGTCTGAACAAATACAAAATGTCAACAGGCTGAGATTCCAGAAACTTAATGCATCTAGCTCAATGTAATGAGCTTTCATTAAAGTTTGTGAAAGTATGTTTGGACTTGAGTCGAACAAACTGAGGGTGTTATAAAATGAACCTACTGGAAGCCATTTTCCAATGTCTCCTGTGTGAACCCATCCATCTGCATCAATAGTCTCTGCTGTCTTCACTGGGTCCTTCAGGTAGCCCCGGAACACGTTTGTACCCTTGACACACACCTAGAAATCAACATGTAAACACGGGTGTGAACGACCCACATTATCATAAATATGTAAAAGACAGCATCTCTGTGATGACTCATTGGTCATGGCGTTTTTACCTCTCCCTCTCCGTTTACTGCCAGATAGTTCATCTCGGGCACATCAACCAGTTTGATTGAGTTACAGGGCAGAGGAGCTCCAACGTGACCTGGTGATGTGAGGTTGAGTTTAGTTCTCGTTCTGCTGACTAATCAGTCAATTGCTCACTTTTAAAACTTTACGTGTCATGGTTTACAAAGAAAGAATACTCGTACCTGCGCTCCAGTCTCCTGGGATGTTCATTGTGCACCCAGCAGTGCACTCTGTTTGTCCATAGCCTTCATAGAACTGGAAGAGAACACAAACTAAGATTAGCCTCATTCTTAAACAATCAGAAGATTCTGGAATGTGGAGCTGATGAGGAGCACAGAATGATGCGGATGAGCTGTGTTACGTGTTTGTTACCTGACAGCCTAATGCAGCTCTGAGGAAAGTGAGAACAACAGGAGAGATGGGGGCGGCTCCTGTGAACATGAGACGAACGCGACCGCCGAGGCTGTCCTGTAGAGGGCAGCACACTTCATTAATGCTGGCATTTATGGTGACAACAGAGTCACATCATCAGCTCGAGGAATCCATCTGCACCAATCTTATGCTAGGAACACCTCCAACTCATGCACACAATGCAGTTTTAGACCAGCACTTTGGATTGACAAATCATTTTACCACAATAGGACAAATCACAGTTTAAAATGAAAGAACACTCCACTTCAATTATCAACTAAATCTAATAAATTCATCTGCTCCAAAATAAATTATTTTAGATATTTTAGGGCATTTTGTCTTTTATTGAGAGGAAAGTGTCGCTGTAGAGAGAGAATAAGGGAAGACATGCAACAAAGGGCCGGGTTGGAACTGGACCTGCAGCCACTGCAGGAGGCCTTAAGTCTCCGTATACAGGGCACCCGCTGGTTCACCAGGTAGCACGGCTGCTGGTAAAAGTGCTGCTAGCTATAGCATTAGCTGCCCAGCTTAAAGAGACAGAGTGAACAAAGCATCTTTACCAGAGATGATACCAAATCAACAGTGATGAGTCTGTGATTTCAGTCTGTTTCACAATAAGATAGTTGGCAGCCATATAACGAGCCTCATTTTTGAATGAAATCAAGTTTTTCGGAAACTTGTATCATCCACCCCTGGACATGTAGGAGTTTAAACTGTGCAGTGTTAGAACAGGAGTTGTAACTGTGCTGGTTCTGTGTACCTGGACCTTCCTGAAGATTAGTCGATCCCAGATACTGTCTCTCCTCACGATGCCTTTCATCAGCTCTGCCTCCTTCCTCCTGTAGGCAAATCCCAGCAGCCAGCGCTTCAGAGAGGTGTCGGCCTGGCCAAAGATCTACAAACACACAGACACACACGGCTTAGTTATATGAAACAGCATTAGTTCTATTATCATGGTAAATGGTTTGTATTTATATAGAGCTTTTCTAGACCACTCTTTACAGTAGAGTTCTCCATTCACACACACATCCATATAATGCTTCTATTAGATAGCCCTTGATCATTATCCTCATTTAAATCTCTGCTGCACTCGTGCAAAATGGAGGTAAGTTGAAGCAAGTGTTGCTAGTTTAAGATGTAAATATGAGCAGTGTCAGACATTCAGCAGCAGCTGGAGCACCGCTTTAACCTTTTGTCCTAACATCAGTGTGTCCACCTACCTTATCATACATTCTGTTGAGGACTCGGGGAACTGCAGGAAACACAGTCGGTTTCAGCGTTTTCAGGTCGTCTGCCAGCCGACGAATGTCCCCCTGGAAAAAGCCGATCCTTGCTCCATGGACTAACATCACCCCCTGTCAGCAAAAAGGGTGAAAGATGCAGAAGAGGAAAGTTAAGAGAGAGTGATTATAGAGAAGTTGTAGGAATACAAATTTATCTTGGGTGGCAAAAGAGAACACACCTGTGCCACTCTCTCAAACATATGAGCCAATGGCAGGAAGGATATGTGGACATCACTGGCACTAAAAGGATACCAGGTCTAAAACACGTTCACATATGGACAAGGATACATGGACATACCGGTAGACACACACACACACACACACA